GATGATTTATGATGTTTGATAAATTGAGTGGATAAGGTAGTCAAGTAGAAATACTTATATCTCAAAAGTATGGTTGCGTACTTACACAAATAAATGATAAGATTGATAGAGAATTTTTTGAAACGGAATTAAAAAAAAAACGAGTAACATTCTTTACATTCCATATAAGTTAATTTTACAGTCATAGAATCATATTAACACTGACATTAGTTTTGTTTTATTCGTTTATTATGATGGTCAGATAAGACACAAGCAGTTGCGGATAACTAGGTTAAGAAAGATTGACATTCAATTATAGATGTCAATGAGTGCCAGAAGATAACAGACAGCTACTTTTAAACCAAACGACTCAAGGAATTGCGTCCTTGATTGTAATAGCTATAGTCATTAACTAGTGACTGTTACGTTTCTATAATCTTGGATATACCTGATTACCCGTTGAAGAAAATAAGTCAAAAGAAATTTTTGTCTTAATGAATAAAAATTGAACGTGTTAATGACACGGAACCAGATAAAATCCTCTTATCTCATATTAAGTCTTAATATTTATTACAGGAAGAAATTATATGTCACTTCCATCAAAATTAATAATACTTTTTTTTCCCATTTATTCTTTTCCTTTTGAAAATATTCTTATAGAAAAAAAAAACAACATATACAGTTAAGAAACGAGAGTAAAAAGTTGATTTCATTTCTAATATATTTGTTCAAGTCCACAATATTCGTATTGTATGAAAGCTTTTCATTGTGTAATATGAGTATATAAATTTGGAAAAACAAAAATACTAAAAATTAGTTATCTGATGAAACTGGTTGTTTAATAAGCCATCGTAAACCATCAGTGAAACCTTCATTTCTTTTAATACTACACATACATAATTTAATTCGAGGATTTTCTTCACTAAGATATTTTTCTATTTGAAGAAGATAACTTAATTCATTTTCACTATATGCTGTGTCAATATTATCAATTTTATTAGCAAGAATTAATAGAGGTAAAAATTTCATATCATCATCATTTAATATATTTAGTAATTCATGACGTGCTTCAGGTAAACGTTGACGATTACTTGCATCAATCATAAAAATAAGACGTGCTGATGAAAACATATAATCTCGCCATAAACGTCTTGCTTGTTTATGACCACCAACATCAGTTATAGCTAAAAGAGTTGAACCAATTTTAATTTCATGTTTTGATGGTTGACTTGTTGGTGGTGCTTGAATAAGACGATTTTGAGTTAAACGACCAGTTAATGTTGTTTTACCGGCATCATCAAGACCAACAAGAAGTATTGTATTCGATTTCGAATCATTTGATGACCACCAAAACCAAGTATATTCAGCGATGAAATTTCGTATATATGTTAATGCAGACCACATATTTGAATTTGAACAATAGTGATTTTCTTTGGTTTTTGTTTTGAATTTATATATAGAAAAAAAAAACGTTCTGTTGACGTGGTCATATTGCGTAATTTCTTTGCCACGTCAACAAAAAGTATACGTCGATACTATTTACATTTTTCTAAGAACATATGCACTCATTATAGAAACAAACAAAAAAACAATAAGGAAAAATCTATCATTAAAAACCAATCAATCAAATATTATTGAATTTGATTTTGTGAGATACCCTCGACATTTCAATATGTCATACGTAATGCATGATACAGATTTGTCATGACTAAGCAAACTTGTCATAAATGTCTGGACAATAAACATGATTCAAACAAACAGATTTATTAAACTGAATGACATATAGATTAATCTGTGACATTTGTTCTTGATCATGCTAGAAAACTCTTAAATAAATTTACAGATTTTTTTTTTCCATAATGAAAAATATAAATAGATTGTAGTTAATATTTATCTAAGAAAAAAAAAGATCTATTGAAAAAAATAATATAGAATTTCTATATTTCATACATATTGTGAGAAACTAAAAATCAATGAAGAAAAGTTTGTTAGCGTAGCCCCTTTGAAGTTGAGATGTGGAATTCACATATCTTCTTTAACTTTATTATATTAACACAAAGTATACAAAATTTGAAATCTCTTTTTCAATGATAATCACTTGTTAGTAAACTCTATCGTTTTTTTATTTCTATATTTCGAACAAAAATTTGATTTTCTTTTTGTATTTGTTTTGTTGCTATTCGCTAGGTATTGATTTTCTTCTTTTTTTTTTGATATTTCATTTTCGTCGTTTATTATTATTGGTCTAATCATCGATTTGATGGGCAAATAAGTCTGTTGTACAAGTTTGTTATATCTTTAGCAGATCTTAATGATCTATTTATATCTCGATGAACTCAAGAACACTGATGTTAATTATTTCCGAAAGTTATAATTTTACTAGTTAGTACTCTTGTGTTTACTATATGACAGTTGTGGGAAGTGAAAACATTATCTTGGATATTTATCATATAAACATTTATTTGCGTAACAATAAGAAATTGCGTTATTTAGAATATTGGGAAAAGTACTCCAGCCATTTAGGCTTTAAAGAAGGTTATACAACTTTCTTAGCTTTGCTATCAATATCGTTGAACATCAACAGTTCTCATTGTTTAGGTACATAATGATTAGGGAAAAGCTGCAAAACCTCGATTTCTAAATTACAGTCATTATTTTCCTCGAAAATATATGTAAATTCCAGAAAATAAATGTTAAATATGAATATATAAGAGTTAATATTTTTCATACATAACAATATTTAGTAAAATATCAAATTAGTTTAGATGTTATTTTAAATTAATCATGAATAATATTTTTAAAATATTTTTTAATTAAAATCTTTATGTATTATCTCGGATTTGATAATCAAGAAGAACAATATATATATATATAATCTACGATGAAATATTGAATGTTTTAGTTTTTCTTTTTAATTTTTAATTAATATAATATTTGTTGTAATGACAATTGTTTTGAAAGTTTATGTAAGAATAAATGTTCAAAAGAAAATTTTTTATTTATTTTTACTATCAATAAATTATTAATTTAACTTCTTCGTCGTTTTTTTGAATGTCGATGATGTTTTCTACTATTACTATGACTAGATCGACGTTTCTTTTTCGATGATGATCGATGTTTATGTTTATGTTTATATTGTTTTGATTGATCTTTGTCATGTCTATAAATTATACAAATATTTATTTTTTTTTTCTTTTCATTTATTTTAAATGATAATAAAAATGTAAATATACTTCGTTTGATTAGAATCCATTTGAGGATTTGCATGTTGAATGAATGTCATTTCAGCATTGATCATTTCACGAGCAATCTAAATGATTTATCTTATATTTCTATTGAAATTTTAAAGAAATAATTTACATCATAAAAAGTTTTTTTTATTGTACGAGTTACATATTTAGTTCGACGTCGTTTTTGATCACGTAATTCAGCTAATTTATTTAATTGTTGAGAAATATTTGAATCTATAATATAAACAAAGAATATCAGTAAATTGATCTCAAGACAAAAACCAATCTAACTTTGTGATTGAACAGGTTGATTATCAATGATTGAACATGATGTAGATGGTACGATTCCCAAATGCAAAGCTTCATTATGTACAGCTTGAGCAATTAAAAATCGTTCATTAGGTGAAAATAAAATTGTTGTTTGTTCAATATTTAATGGAAGATCTTTAAATAGAAAACAACTATAAATAATCCAAATTGCAAAAGTTCTTGTGCCGTGTCTCTTGTTAATATTAGTGCACTTAGAATTTATTCACTAAAGAAAATTAGTATTTCATCCTCTTTCTAACTATACGTTCAGAAGTTTTTGTTCTGGTTTATGGTTGGTAAGCTGTGAACGAACTGTAAAATAAATCAAATATGTTATTTGCATTTAGCAAAATTGACTTTTGTTTTCTGTCATGCATAACTTCTTTGAATGGCGTTGTAGAGCAAAAATCACTCTGCAGAACTGGTGTAGAGAAAAACTATCTTATAATTTAGTTCGAGACAGTTTTAATCAAAACACAAAACTGAACTCAATGAAAAGTTCTGTACATACATCATTTTCCTTTGACCCATTCGTTAAAGTTTTGTTTTCAATGAACTAAATTTAAGATACAAAAGAAGAATTTGAACTTATAGTTTGAAAGAATATGAAAATCTAATTTTAGCTGATTAATTTTTATTTTTTTTTTGCAGTTTACTTAAGAAGTACATGAAAATTGATCAGATATCGTGTGCAAAAAGATTTTTACAATAGGGATTATTACGATAACGAAACGATTATTTTTACTATTTGTGATTGTTATAGGTCGATGAACAATATCACTAAGTCTTGATGGAGTAAATAAAATACCGGATTGATTAAGTAATTGTTTTTCTTGTTCACATTCAGTTAATTCTTTCTATATATATTAATATACAATGAATTTTTGTTTCGAAAAAAAAAATCTTTGCTTACTAGATATTCTTTAGAAAATCCTTCTTTTAATAATTGACAATGTTCTACATGTTTTGATCCGATTGGAAATCGATGTCCTCGATCAATTGGACATTGAATCAATGTTTCTTGCTAAAAATCATTGTTAGTTTTTATATGAAATATTCATTTCGAACACATACTTCTTTCAATAAACAATCTTCTGTCCAATTAAGTTTACTTAATAATTCATTAAATTTTAGTTTTTCTCTTTTATAAAATATGATCTCATCATCAGTCATTTTATCTAAATAAATAATAATAATAATAATAAACTCATGCTCTCTTTTATATTTCCATACTTTCTTAATGTTATGTTTAATAAGCGATATTAATATCAGGCTTCACATGAAAAGTAAGATTTAGAAAGAAGATCAATGAAATAAAGAAAAGTAAACAATGTTAAATAATGATATCTGATCATCAGATCATCTCGGCACACAACTATAAATAATAATCGTTTTATAAACTTTGAATAAAACAAAAGAAAAGAAAAGAAAAGCAAGAAAATTATCACAAACAAACAAAAAAACAAAACTCTTAATTTTTCATTATTTCTGTTGTACAGGAATTGACGTTTGTAATTGACGATAACGTTTCTTAATTGTTCCTTTTGGTATTTGAACAGAACCATTAAATAATTGTTGTAAATTTTTCCAAGCTGTTAATGATACATTTTCTTGTGCACGTATTAATGATGGAGCATTAGCACGAAATTGTGCAAGAAGACGATCATCTTTTGATAAAGTTAATAATGTTTCATACTGATTATTATCATTTGTAATGATTTGATCATCATATTGAATATTAATATTTAATTTTTGACAAGCATTTATTAATTGTTGTTTAATTGTTATTGATGATTGATGATTGTTTGTATTTTTTTCATGTTGAATTATTTCATCTTCAATAAAATGAACATGTTTTTTTTCATGTTGTTGTTGTTGTTGTTGTTTATTTAAATTTTCCTCACGTTTAAGTAAACTTTTTATTGGTTGTACAGGTACTAATGAAGATGTTGAAATATTTATTGATCCTAATATATCTGGATTTAATTTAGAAAGTAAATTTTCAGCTGCTGATTGTTTTGCTAATTTTTTATTTTTACCATAACCATTACCAAAATCATTTTCACCAAATTTAACATTAAAATGAAAAAGTTTTTCACTTATTGAATATTCTAATTCATTAAATTCAATATTTATATTACGTGCTCGTGCTATTTGATAAAGACGTGTTATTGGATTGATTTTTTCTGATACACTATAATTACTTGAACCTTTTTGTTCAATAAATTTGTTATGTTGATTACTATGTTTACGATTATGTTTTTGTTTTTGTATATCATTTTCAGTTGGTAATGGTAAAATTTCTAACATTCTTTCAGCTGCTATTTGTTTAGCTGCATGTTTTGTTTGACCAGTACCAGTTGTTGAATATTGTTCACCAATATGATATGTTATTGTTAATGGTTCATTATATTCAGGTTGAACAGTAAGACCAAGTTGTTTAGCACGTTCATACATAAGTGATATTTGAGATTTTGGTTGAATCTAAAAGATAATTTGAAAGAAATGTGGGAGGCCAAAATTTCGGCCCAAGGAATTTTCGGCCTGGAACTTCGGCCCGGTCCTAAATTCCGGCGGCGTTTCGGTCCAGGCCGAAATATCAGCGGAAATCCGACCCGGGACGAAATTCATCTCATTGCTGTTTATAAAAAATAGTCTAGCTTCAATGAATAGTTAGCACATTTCCATAGTACTGAGGAGTACGACGTAGTGCTGAGCAGGACGACGTAATGCTCAGCAGTACGACATAGTGCTGAGCAGGGTGATTTTACATCTCTTTATAGTTATAGCATTCTATCAAGCCTACTGCATTTCGAAAGACAGTCCAGTGTGTTATTAGACAAAAAGTAGCGTATACATTATATAGTTGAGATTTAATTCGAGCTATAGATTATAAAAGTAGTGGTTAAACTAATGAACAAATGACTCGATAACTGACAACACCAGGGATAGACAAACAAGAACATGTGCGCATGGTCGATAGAGCGTTTAATGGACTTCTATCAAATTTTTCTCGTGAGATTTCAAGATAAAAAGCTATAAAAGATTTTTAATGTANACAACCATGTTGTTATTTAAAAACATATATACCAGCGTCTGTTCATAATCGAAATATTATATCTGCAACAATGAATCGTACATTTCCATATAATCATCCACCAACTGGACTAAGATCAGTTGTACCATTAGGTGGTATAACAACAGGCTCAATCGAATTGCGTGGTGATGGAACATTTCATGAATGGACAATTGAAAATCAATCACCAGCTGCTGGAGCAAAATATGGTGTCGTTGATAATGCATTATTAGCAATTCGATTAAAAAATTTAGAAACAAATGAAACTCATACTCGATTACTACGTACACATTCAAATCATAATTTCAATGGTATAGACACAATTAGATATTATGGATCATATCCTATTAGTAAATTAGAATTAATTGATTATAAATTAATAGCAAATATGGATTTATATGCTTAGTCAATATTTAAACCAGGTGATTTAAATCGTTCAATGACACCAGCTATTATTTATTCATTAAATATTGAAAATCCAAATGATTATCCAATTGCTATCGATTTTATGTATAATGTACCATTATCAGTTCAAATCGATCAAACAAGACTTTCTAAAATTGTAATACAACAAATAATAAGTAATACATATATTCAATGTATATCATGGATTGGTGAAAGTTAAGCACGGGAAAAATCAGCACGGAGAGATCAGCACGGAATAATCAGCATGTAAAAGTTCAGCACAAGGATTGATAACCACAAGATCAATTCAGCACGGGAAGAATAAGCACAAATATTAAGTACATTCAGTGGATATTCTTTTTTTAAGTTTATTTAAGAGAAATATTGATTAGAATATTACAATGAAATATTGTAAGCAATTGAATCAATTTGAACCAAAACATCTCGATGAGGATTCGCTAGAAGATTCAGCAGCCGTCTTTCGAATCGTTCATTTATTTTTTTCTTTTTTGGTGGTTGACCAGCACAGATCTGTAAAATATCCGCATGAGTTCCAGTTTCTTCATCGATTAATTTTTGAAGAAAAACCCATAGCGTTGGATGAGCACATTGAAATACTGAGCCAATTCTTCGATGATAAGCTTCGGGAGAATTATTCGTTCTCATTAACGATTGGGTTGTTCTTCCGTGCATGTTTCAGAAATTGATTTCAAACAGAGGTTTTCTTCGCGTTTGATTTGATCGAAGCCTTCCTAAAAAATGATATCGTCAAGACTTTTTGTCATTGAAGAAAAGCATTAATTACCAATGTACGTTCCTTCGAAGTAGTCCATTATTTCATCATAATCATGACCGAGTTCCATTGATAAACGTTCGAATCCATTGACGACAGAATTTGGTTCGAAAAATGCCAAGGCAGCTGTCTTGTGAATGTTATGTGCAAAGATCGAATCTGTTTGATATTGATTTTGATGTCCCAATCCCTAAACCGATAAGAACATAAAATTAATACTCTCGATTATCGAGTTATTATGAGCTTGTTACTACCTGAAGTTTCCGCTGACTACTCTGTCTTAAATGAAAATAACATCCGGATAATGATACATTAGGAAACGTTGCTTGGAAAGCACCAAACGAAGCTTGTTCAAAGTCGAGCATAATAGCACGTGGAGACCAACGATGCGCAATGTTGAGTATTTCACGGATAAGATGCTGATATGTTTCCGTAGTTTTTCGACGTAATAAAACGTAAATCAATAGGATTGCATGATCACGAAATATACCATGGATGATATATAACTGATAAAATATGTCAGGAACTACTTTAAATGTTCCGTCCACGAGAAATTTTTCCGTATCTTGCAAAACATCTACTTGTTCATCACTTGCGAATATCAGGATCCGATCCTCCCCTAACTCCAGAGAGATAGATTTGTAAATAAATGATCTAGTATGGAGTACTGCGCGTCATACCTGGTCCTGTATCACAGCGAAGAAACTGATCTTTACGTGCGGTTTTGATCAATTGAATAGGAACAGAAGAAAAGTTTGGATCATTTGGTTCTTTCACCACTTGATTATTATGTCGCAACATTCTAATTCGTCGTTTAATATTATCACGTACTGGTAAACGAGCAATCGATGGATCGGACATGCCTATCGATGATAAAATAAAATCTAATGGAAAAGAAAAATGATTTATTTTTACCTCTATAACACTTTGTGATAATGGTGTCAGGTGTTTCTTGAGTATTGACAGCCCGATGAGCAATGTGTTGATTGGAGATTCTGAGTTCAAGTGTTGTACCATCGACTTTACATGTGTGTTCACTTGGTGATTTCACAATAGCATTAGTGAAAACACAGGTATGAAGACGAGAGTGACAGCGATCTGAGAAGTACTTAATGCATCGCCAATAGGTTTTTTCACTTGTAGATCGATCGAGGATGTAAGAACATCCATCATGATCGAGACGTGACTTGTTTTTCGTTGTACCATTACTCGAAATTGTTGTCATATTGGAACAATGAGAATATAATGAAAGAGTCGTCTTTCGTAGCATAATTATAATTGCGAGAATTAATTGGCTCATCTTTACTGTGTTATAACTTAATCTAACCCAATTTCACTCTACTGTTTTCTTAATAATCATAAACAAATATTATCCATTCTATTTAACGCAATCTTTGTGCTGATTAATCAATGTGCTTATTTTTCCCTTGCTGAATTGATCTTGTGCTTATCAATCCTTGTGCTGAACTTTTACGTGTTGACTATTCCGTGCTGATTTTTTCCGTGCTTAAGATGCCGGTTCCCGTATATCATATTGTGATCAAAATAACCTATGTGCTTCATGGAATTGGCATATTGTTAATAATCGAAGTACATGTTTGTTATATAGTGATATTGGAAATAACGTTTTTTTAAGTGATCATGTTAGTGGTGTACGTGGACAATGGACATATAATAAATCTGGTCCATTAGTATTAGATCGTCCAGGAAAAATGCCTGCAAATGGTCAATATGTCTTATGGCCATTTCTATCATCTGATCAAACAATGACAGCAACTATTGATAATGACATTAATAATATATTAAGTAATTTTTCATTAAATGGTGGATGGTTTGAACAAACAGAAATAAAAGGATCCGCTGCTAATGCTGCTGTTTCTATTTCAACAAAATTACAACCTGGTGAGAAAAAAACTTTATCAATATTATTTGCTTGGTATTTTCCACATCATTATTGGTTAGATTTACCATTAGATAATTATTATACATTATTATTTAATAATGTAACAAATGTTGGACAATCAATTGGAATAGATAAATACGATGATAGTCAATTGAAAATAATAATAAAAGATATATTAACATTACATTATCTTTATTTTAATTCGAGTTTACCTGATTATTTAGTTGATTCATTAATAAATAGTGCTTCTCATATGCGTAGTGCAATGTATTTTTCTAATGGTGATTGGCGACAATGGGAAGCATATGATTGTAATGATGTTGATAGTGTACATAATGATCATCAACGTCATTTACCATATATTCTATATTTTCCTGAAACAGAAAAAATTAAAATGTATACATGGGCTAAATATCAACAAAATGATGGAATGATACAAGAAACATTTATAGTTGGTTGTATGGGTAACACAGCTCCTTATAATCAATCTGGTGGGAGAAATATGGGAGATGTAACAACAATATTTATATTAGAAACATTAGAATTATATCGTTGGACAAATGATTTGACTTTTTTAAAAGATATGTATCCACATGTTATAGCCGGTATACAATGGCAATTAAGTGTATCATCTCAATTAGGTTTACCAGAACATTTAGAATGTACATATGATATACCAAATATGAGTCAATATCCAACAACAACATTTAATTCATTCATGCATTTAGCTGCATTACGTGCATGTATGGAATTAGCTTTGATTATGAATGATACAATTACATATAATAAATGTTATGAATCATACTTTATTGCTGTTAAACAAATTAATCAATTATTATGGTATAATGATAGTATAGATACAGGTTATTTCTTAGCTTATACAGGTGGACAAGGTGAAAAAGCAATATTTACTGATGCATTGTATGGTCAAGTATTAGCATTTACATATGGATTAGGTCCTTTATATAATATATCAATAATGAAAAAGCATTTAGAAAGTGAAGTACGATTAGCAGATACACCATATGGATTAAGAATGTTAACTGGACGAGAACCATTAACAAATCCACAAGATAATTCTATATGGATGGGTGCATCACAAGATTGGTCTGTATTAAATTTATGGTTTAATATGGATTTAGATAGTGCATTAATACAATCTGAAAAAGGTTTAAATCATGTAAGACAAACATTAAATGATCAATGGAATACACATGGGTTATATGCAGGTGATGGTTATGGTATTGGAGGAAAACCATGGGTTACATCACATTATGGTTTTCATATGGTCTTATGGCATTTACCATTTGCAATTACAGGTCAATATACAGATTTATCGAAAGGTATATTATTATTTTCACCTAAATTACGATCACCATTTATTTTGCCNAAGAATCTTGCCTGAACAGTATGAAATTTAAAATATCTTGTATTTCTTTCCAGTTTCTGTTTTTTCATAATTTTCAGACAAGATTCTTTTGATCTTGAACCTCAGACAAGGTTCTTTTTAAAAGGAAAGAAAAAAGATTCTTGCCTGAACGTTAAATATATCTTGAATATCTTATGATTCTTGCTTGATTCTTTTATTTCTGATTAATCAGACAAGATTGTTTTTACTTTCCTGTTGAAAAGAATCTTGTCTGAATACAGGAATCTTGTCTGAAAGTAAAAAAAAACAAGAACCTGGAAAGAATAGGGCAAGATAGTCGATTAGTGTATACCTATAATTTCTATAGAAGAAAAGGCACTTAAATGGTAACAGAAATAAACTAAATTTATACTATATTGTTTTTATGATTCTCGGTGATCATTATTATTGAGGAAGACATGATGAATTTGTGAATGCCGAAAAAATTTCGATGTAAATTTGAATAGGCTTTGACACGTACAAACTATGTAGAGAGCGCACAATAATAATATTGCTGGTTTTTCTTCGTTATATGAACACATAACGAATGTAAAAATATGGTTGATGAATAAGTAAGTATAAGCTCAACTTGACCTTGTGCTCTTGGTATTGAAATCAACTGATAAATACAATCGTGAAAAGAGACTAGAACAGATTAAGTGTACAAACAAAAACACTCATTAGATGATAAAATAACGAAGATAATAAAAAAGAATGCTATAATTCTATTTATCAGAAATTGCTATGTCGACGTCTAAAAACTTGTAATTATCCATTTAAATGCATATTTTGTTCAAGTACACAATATTGCCACAGATACTCGTCTTAATGAAACTCATGATTCCACAAGGATCAAAAAAGACATTTTACATTAGTAAAAGATAAATAATTCTGATATACAATTAATAAACTGAATCATGATATTCCATGAACTGCTACGTAATGAAGATTTTCTTTCTTGTATAATGATAATACAATGTATTATGTTTGATCGATAGCACAAAAGCCGAAAGCATCTTTGTAAACAACAGTAAAAACATCTTTATTTTAAAGACATACAAGAAAGAGTGAGAGACGAAAAGCGTCTAATAAAAAATAAAGACATTTTAACATAAGCTCATATAGGAATGAATCACGTCACAAATGACAAATTTTATTTTTGTATCAGATCAAATGTTTACAATAGTAATCATCAAAACCTGCAATCAAATAGATAACAATGAATCATAATTCAAGTATTCATATTATACTTACACATGTTTAGACAGGTTTAGCATAAATACGGTTTTAATCGCATATGAAATTACTATTTTCGTCCAAAGATAAACGAGAGGAGAGGATATTTAACTACTTGTTTGTTTAGTTTCAGTACACAATGTGTTTTAATAACATACTCATTGTGATAATCAAAAAGAGTTGTAAATAGTAGTGCTGATTAATTGATGTTAGAAGCGACTAGTAATCGTCTTGTGAAATCAAAATTTCGTTAACGCTTAATTCAATGCAATGTGACTACTTAGTAAGCATTTTGTAACACATAAAGTAGAGATAAATCTTGACAAAGAAATATAACTAATTAACTAGTTTCGATTCCGATTTCAATCAAGAACTTCTACGTACTCACTTATCATAAAGGCAAATAAGCCAAATATCAAAATAATTCATTGCATATATCTTTAACGCATCGGATATTTAAACCATTTTTGGAATAACTAAGAAAACAGCAACCATATTTGTGTTTGATTGACGAGAAATAAATGTTGAGCAAATTATTATGATTTCATATTACTCTGTAATTGCTTTTATGTGGATATCTAGTTTGATTAGACTTAAATTATTGTTTTGTCATGAGCTGCACCATATTTTGACGTTCTGTCTCAACTTCTCGGGATAATATAATTATTGTTAGTTCTAACTACTGTGCATTTATAAATAAAAAATGGTTTTGACGCAAAACTAAATTATTATTCCTTTATTATTAGATGACATGCAGTTTTTATTCATGTTCTTGCAAAAGTCTAGTTGGATCTTCAAATACATCTACTTGATATAACATCTTCTTCCTTTGATTTCTTAATCTCGTTTTGATTGTTAGTTTTATGAAATTAGAGCTAATCAAATCTTTACCGTAAAAGACAGGACGTAGGTTTTCAACTCGTTAATGGCTCACCTAACTTGTATTTTTTTCCAGAAGTTTGTTATTCAATGCGGTTATCATGACAAGTAATATGAGGAGATTAATACTAATTATAACACAGTTCTTCATAATAAATCACATTTATCATGCTTGATTGATATGATTATGATTGTTGATACTGAGTCACAGACGATATTTTAGCATAAAAAAATGCAGTTAAATATACTAGTCTTTTTATGAGGATATCCTATATGTTTGACTGCGATCAAATTGCGGCGCAGAATTGGCCGGCTCTACGCGTAACTGCGACGTAGTCGTTAAAAAAGTGACGACATTGGATAAGTTTCCTAGTCAGTAACCAGGATTGTTGCAGACGTCGTTGCAGTTATCTCAATTATTTAACACTGATTTTTTCTTCTTCAATTCATGTGTATTTTTTTAACAATGGCCAGTACTATTACAATATTTGATACTGAGAGATTCCTTGTTCATATCATTATAATCGAATAATTGAGATAATTTTTTTTCAGTAATTGAAAGACCTTTAAAATTTTAGTTGTACATCTTAAGCACAGAAACTGTCTGCCCATTAGAATTCCGACTTGTTGGAAAAATAATCATGATCATGACAAGACATCTTATCATAAAACTGTAAAACTTTTACGAAAAATGATGGTGATCGGACTTATTCAAAGCTATTGGAAATAAAGAAGGTAATTATTCCTTATATTGTAACATTTTGTAGCAAATAAGGTTAAATACCAATAATAAATCAAAATAAAACAAATTCGTTTTTGAAATGATAAATAGTTGACGGCTGAGTTTAAGAACGCGCATACGGTTATTGTTCTTTGCAAGTTTTGCGTTATCGTAGCATTTAGCAACAGACAGATCATCATTCGAAATTATTGTTCTATGGTATATCTTTATTCGAAGATAATCAAACTTTAAAGATGCAACAGTAAAATTTATCAATCTACTGTTGTATATAATGTTTTAATAGTATTAACTAACCAACGTTTTATTGATTCTTGAAAAGATATTGCTTTGATTACGATTATGCTGATCTTTTATACTTTAAAACAGATGCATTAGAAAATATTCGAAGAAATATTATCATTTCAGAGTTTGATATGCAATGATTAGAAAAGCCAAGTTTGAGCAGATCTGAACAATTAATGTGTACAAACGTTTTATCCACATTTACTAAACTGTTAGATGTAATTACGATTCATATTGAAATACACAATTTTTGCTCTAGTTTCCGGTATAGATAAATTTTGATAGTATTATCTTATTGTACTTAATAGAAGTGTGGATCGAGTCTGTTTTCTACGCGATGGTGAAAAATATTTTCAAATATATATTCCACTTATGCATTGTATTATATAAGACTAAAGAGAGGGCGCTATCAGTCGTCAATCATTACAACTCGTTTACCGATCATTTTCTTTAGTATTCATTTCATTTCATATGACAATCAACTAATAATAATGTAATCCAATCCAGAAAAGTAATTGCATAAAGTCGAAACATATTATTGGAAATTTTGATATTCTTTCTATGACTAGAAAGAAAATAAATGGGGTTAACTAACTATGCGCAATACACTCATCGCTTAAAATAAATATATGCCAGTACTAAAAATATTTTGGTCTTAGTTCACTTTAAACTTGACGCTCACATTCTTGAATATGATTAACACAATAACTAGCATGAAGGAGCAAGACTAAGGACATCGTCTAAATGAAACAAGTAGCAGTGCTTTTATCAGATTTTTGACTAACGAATTCTCTTTGTTCATACACATGTTAGTTAATTATTACATATCATGTCTATCTCATAGTCTTAATCATGTTCAGATACAAAATTCTGTTACATAACATCGTACTGTTGACACTCATAATGATCATTCACGAGGCAAGAACATCGTTCTTCCATTTAGTGACAACAGCTGGTCTTTTTGACATTGAATAACAAGAACAGAACATGCTATTTTTCTTTTTACATTGAAGCACACAATGGCACATTATTCTCGTATGAGTACGTCAATGATTTTAAAATTATAGATTATGACATTTAGTTTAGCTAAAAATTTTCACAATATTTTTCAACTCATTATTTAGACAATGTAACCGATGTTGCACATTGCTCATTATTCAGTTACTATACGAAAATATTATGCATGTGTAAATATAGATTGAAACTAGCAGCTGGCAACTTTCTCACAAATCTTGGAAGCACCATTTAACGTGCCTCTATAGCTCAGTGGTAGAGCGCCAGTCTTGTAAACTGGAGGTCCGTAGTTCGATCCTGCGTGGAGGCATTACCTTTTTTTTACACATTCTTCTGTTCTTTCTATATAGATAAACAACTGAAGTTATTTGTACACTATAGAATATTCAAATAATTACTAATTATTCTTCTTGATATCACAGTTCATTAAATTGAACGTTGTATGATGAGTTTTAAAAAATAAGTTTCATATAAAAGTTATGATTTTTTAAAACCTTGATGCGCGAATTCGACTAGAATAACTTCATACATTTGAAACAATTTTATTATGAAAACTTTATTTCAAGTTGTAGAAATTCTGGTGCATCTGATTGTTTATTGCCTGATTTATTACTTTAGGGAATTCCTTTCCTTTTCTAGCACTTTAGCAGAAGGACTCGTCAGAAAAAATCGAAACTTTCAGGTTAAATAGATCTCAATGCATAAAGTAAAAGTTGCAATAAATTCAATATTTTCAAATTCTACCTTCTAGGAGATATCGATTTTGCAAAGGCAACAGATCATTTCTTAACATAATATTTTGAAACAAAACAAACAGGCAGCCACTCTAAGCATTTTCTAGTATAAGTGGAAGAAATTGTCAGCTCGATCGGACGCGCTGTGGTTGAGAAACGGGGGTGATTCTGAACTTTTTTGTTTTTTGATAAAATATTGAAATATTTGTTAACTTGTATTATCATACGTGTATATTAATTCTGGAAATATGTTTAGTGGATAGACGATATTGCAATATTCAAATGTAATGATAGCATCAATCATGTTTTTCGACTTCAGTATGAAAATTAGAAAAACCTATTTTAAATCAATCAAAAAAGTGTATTTATAATTAACTTTTTTGACAAATAGTAAACTGGTTAATATGCATATGTTTCATTATTTGTCAGACAGAATCGTAAACATTTCCATAGTACTGTCGCATGCAACTGAAAATTGAAACATATTAGTGCTAATCATATTTATTTGTCTATGCTTGTCAGATGATGCGTAGAGAAAGCCACAGCAATATGTAAACAACTAATCAATGAAAATAAAGAAGACAAGAGAAACACTCAACATTGACAATAGAATAGAGAGGAAAAGACCATACACAAAAACACATTCATATCTATGCTGTCAGGGTGTTTAACGTGGACGAACAGAACTACTACGAACCATAGAAGCTCCTCGTGTGGCTGTTGGCTCACGGTAATCGTCCTAAACAAAACAAATTTAATGTACACAAAAAATCAGTTTTGAATGATCATCAACTTACACCTGACGTAGTGCGATTAGCGCTAACAGTCGAACGATTTTTGGCACGTAATTTGCTCAATTGGTTTTCAGCAACATCAGCACGCTCAGCTGAGTCCTCTATAAATTAGAATCGTATTCTTTTTGTTGTCAATCTGCATTTTAATCAACTTACCAAGATCTGATTGAGCTTTACGATATTTTGCTAGATTAACTGCAGCTATTTCCTCTATATTAGACAAACAATAAATTTTATTGAAACAAATCTGAAGAAAATAATTTTTGAAATACTTACCAGCTTCTTCAACTTGACGTTTATATACTTTGATCTTATTTTGTAATTTCTCTGTAAGATCTTGTAAACGTAATTGATTCTTGCGATCTTCTTCTATTTGGAATACAAGCTCTTTCAAACGTCGATCATTCTTGCGTAATTCTTTGAGTGTTTCTTGATGACGATGTTGTTCCATTTCGTTTTCACTTTCTAATTCATGAATCTAAATATAATCGATAAATATATTAAAAACAACTATACATTTTCATTTCATATAATACGTACACGTTGTTCAAGTTTAGCGATGATACGTTTGCCACCTTTAAGTACATTGCCTTCAGCTTCATCAAGACGCGTTTGAAGATCTTTGACTTGTTGTTCAAGTCCTTTGCGTAATCTTTCAACACCGATAGAGTGCTCTTGCTCTCTGCGTAATTCTTCAGCAAGACGGGCAGTATCTGCTTCTGAAATATTCAACATAGAATACTATTTATTTTCTTTTTCTGTCAATCATACTTACCAGCTCTCTTGGAGCGTTCCTCAACATTTTTCAATTCAGCTACGGCTTCATCCAAATCAGATTGCATTGCAGTTACTGTCGCTTCAAGTTGTCGTCGTTGTGAAGATAATGTAGCATTTTGTGTGCTTACTTCACTAATTCGATCAGCAGCTTCATGTAGCTCACTTTCGGCAGCTTTACGTGCTCGTTCAGCTTGTTCTAAAGCTGTTCGTAATTCTTCAAGTTCACCAACGATGAGATTAGCACGACGTTCAGCTGCTGCAGCTATTTCACGAGCTTCATCACGTTGTTGTTGTTCATGTTCGACTTGAGTTTGTAATTCGGACGCAGTTTGTTGTAGTCTTTTAAGTGTTTTTTGTAATTCGGTATTTGTACGATTTGCATGATCTAATGCAGATTCGAGTTCATTGATGTCTGACTCAAGTTTCTTTTTCTAAAAGACGAAAGAAAAAAAGCAACAATTACGAAACGAAATAGTAAAAAATAGTTTTCTCTTTTATTTATACCTGTTTAAGAGCTTCGGCTTTGGATCGAGTTTCCGCTTCCAAACTGGCTTGCATTGATTCAATAGAACGTGCATGATTTCGTCGAGTAGTTTCAAATTCTTCTTCTTTTTCATGAATACGTCGATCGATTTCTTGACGAACAGTGCTCAGTTCCATTTGAGCACGAAGTACTTTGGCTTCTTCCTGTTCGAGTGCCGACTCAGCTTCTTCTAATGCGAGTTGAATTTCTTCTTTTTCTAATTCGGCACGCTTGCGGGCCTTGTCTAATTCGTGTAATCTATCAAAATTAAATTCTTAATATTCGTCTCATTTTAAAATCTATGATTTTTTTTATTCCTTGTTTTTTTCTGTGTCAGAACATAATCAAATATATGACTCGTTCAATGTTTTCCAGAGATTAGTATGCAGTCATGTTGAAATTTATGGAATATGATTTAGAAGAATACCGTAATAATTTACATAAGGAAGATTGTTAACTTTTTACAAGCCTTGAAATTTCAAACAACAACCTATAATTATTACTATTAAATATATTGTTGAGGAAACTGAATAATAATAATAAATTATTATTGATGTATTGAGTTTTGTCTGTTTAGATTTCATCACGTACAAGATTGTTACGTAAATAAGAAAAATGTTCTTAATTTCCTCAAGTCAATATTGAATGAAACATATGTAAGTTATCAAACTAAATTAAATATCGAATTTAAGTTAGATTATAAAATTACGTATAATACCAGTTATTTTTTATTATTCTTAGTATTTTCTCCAGACTAAGCGTATCATTTGAGATGATTCTATTTTCTTCAAAAGTTAAAATACATTTTATTGTTATTTCTATGGCATTGGATGTCTCCTCTGTGTTTTTTTATTGTCATGTAAATTATTTTCTACACACTTACCCCTTTCCACCATCAGTCAATTGATCCGTAAGATCCTAAATGAAACGAAGATCCATGTATATTTGCATATGAATTATATGTTCTACCTTAATTTCATCAGCCAAATTCTTGTTTTCTTTACGAAGAGCTTCAATTTGTTCGTGTGACTCTTCGTATTGACCTTTAATTTTAAATAATTCTGTTGAGAATTGACGTGCTTCTTTTTGTGAAGCTTCCAATTCAACTGTAATATCTTCGCATTTTTGCTTCCATTCATTGATTAGCTTATCAAATTGTTTTTGTTTTTTGTCCATAGTTGAAGCATCTATGAAATACAGAAATTAATTTTTATTAAATACGAATATTATTTACTTACTAGCATTAGCACGTTCGACATCGACCATTAAATCTTCAACTTCACCTTGTAAACGAGCTTTGACCTTTTCTAACGCATTACATTTTGATAAAGCTGCTTCAACTTGTTCTTCAGCTTCTGATAATTTTGATGCTAATTTACGTTTTGCTTCTTCAAGTTCTTCGGCACGAGCCATACCTATTTTGTAAGAAATAAAATAAAATAAATCAAACGTTAATATTTATTAACCTTCTGATTCATAACGAGATCGCCATTGTTGAACTTCAGCACTGAGTTTAGTTACTTGTCGTTGAAGTTCCGTTTTACCCTCTTGTTCTTCTTCAAGTTGTTCATGAGCTTGATCAAGATCAGCCGTCAAATTACGCAATTGAGAAGCTAAAAATTTAAATTGATTTATTCTTTCAAAACAAATATTCAAGCTTAGCAGTTAGTTACTTACTAGTAGAACTTTTACCACGTAGTTCTTCATCGAGTGCTCGTTGAGCTTCAGCCAATTGTTGTTGTAATTGTGTCTTAGATTTTGTTAGAGCACCAACTTGATGTTCAACATCTTCAAGTTGTCTAGTCAATTCAGAATTTTCACTAACTAATTTAGTTTTTTGTTGATTAAAGTCAAGCATTTGTTTTGTGTGTTCATCAACTTTAATATGCACTTCATTTAATTGTTGTTCAAGTTGCTTGGAAAGTTTTTCAGCAGTAGCTTTACCCTTTTGTATATGATCAACTTGTGATCGTAAATCATCTAATTCTGCTTTGACAGTACCTTTATCTTTTTCTAATTTATTTTTAACTTTTTGAAGTTGATCAATTTGTTCACCCATTTCTACAAATAGAAATTGTCTGAAAATATATGAAATAAATCAAAATAACTCACCAGTAACTGCATCTTGATGTTTCTTACGAAGTTGTGCAGCTGTAGCTTCATGCTGAAGATTGGCTTCTTCCAAATCACGACGAAGTTTAGCCAATTCTGATTCTCGTTTTTTGTTCATTTCAACTTGTGACGAAGTTGCTCCACCAGCATCATCTAATCGATCACGCATTTCATCGATTTCTCGTGCTAAATCAGCTCGTTGTTTCTCAGTTTTTGCACGTGATTGACGTTCATTCTCAAGTTCTTCTTCAACTTCTTCCACACGTGCTTGTAATTCTTTAATTTTCTTGCCAAGATTAGTTGCTTGACCTTGTTCAGTTTCAAGACGACTATTGACTTGTTGAATTTCTTGATCTCTTCGTTTGAGACCATCTTCAAGTTCATGTTTTGTTCGCTCAAGTTCTTCGATATTACCTTGTGCCGCTTTGAGATCAGTTTCGACTTTACGTTTTGCTTTGTCAAGATCGGCACGACCTTTTTTCTCTCGTTCCAAATTTTCTTCAAGTTCGTCAAGTGTTTGTTCAAGTTTGGCTTTAAGTTTATTTAAATGATTAACTTTATCTTCTTCTGCTTGTAATTGTTCAGTTGTTTTTGTATTTTGTTCTTCAAGTCGTTTACGTTCACGTGTCAATTTAGCAATGCTCTCATCTTGTTGTGCCATTTCATCTTGTAACATACGAATTTGATTGTCACGTGTTTTACATTCATTTTCGGATTTTTGAAGACTTAAACGTATATCATCAATGTCTTTTTTCAATCCTTCAATATCTTGTTCAAGTTTCTTTTTCTTTTTGTTTAATTCTTGAGATGCAGATTCTTCATCACTTAAACGATCTTCTGTATCTTTGATTTGTTGTTCAAGATCAGACTTTTGAGTTGCTATTAGACAATAACAATCATTCGAATGATCAAAAATAAATCAAAAATTATACCTAATCGAGTTAAACGTTCTTCAGCTTCGCCCATAATATTTCGTTGCGTTTCCAATTGAAGATAAATTTCATTTTTCTCTAGAAAAGAGCTTAGGAATAAGAAAGAAGAAACCAAACAAAAAAAGAAAAAACGTTCTTTGATTTACCTCGAATAAGTTTTGAATTATTATCTTCTACTTCTTTGCGTAATTTTTCTTCTTTTTCAAATGTTTCTTTAAGTGCTTTAAATTCATCTTCAAGTTTTTTCAACTCATCTTCTTGTCGAGCTACGGACAGAAGAGGTTTAACTTTGGTGTATAATTTCCACCATGCCCAATTGCGAAGGGATAAATACTTGCGAATATTACGTTGTAAAACTGACAAAGCCAAACGTTGTTCGAGCATTTTCTTGTACTCTCGTTTCATAATATAACCACGAATTTGTCCTTGTAATCGAGCAATAATTCGAGACAATGCTTGATCACGTAAATCTTCAAGATGACCCAATACTCCTGCTTTGAAGAAAACCTTTGTAATACCTAATCGGTACTGTTCCTCTGGTAAAGATATGTCTTTGAGAATGTTCTCAGTTGCCTTCTTAGCATCAACGAATTCTTTGGGAATGACATTTGGTGCCAAAATTGAATAACGTTGTTTAAATTCAGCATAAATTATACGATTTGGAAAACCTTTGCGACAAATACGAATACCTTCAAGCACACCATTACAAGTAAGTTGATGCATAACCAAATGTGAATCAAGAACGCCTCCTGTTTTGATTTCATTCGGAATAATACAACGAACAAAATGAGGATGAGTAGATTTCAAATTGGTCATCAATTTGTTTAATGATTCCTATATATATAAAGTCATTTTGTTTTATTATATAAATTGATCCGAAAAAAACAAGTAAGAGACTTACACGATGAGTAGCTGAAATAGTTTGCATACTTCCACCTTTCTTCTTAGCTCCGGCCTTGCCACCACCTTCTTCTTCAATAATATCAGCAAAGAGATGAGCCAACATTGCACTTTTCGATTTAGCAAAGAGAGTAGCACTATAGCAAAAGAAAACATTTTACAATAACAAACATGAATGTTCTCTCTTGAAAATACATACACAGTCGTATTGATAGGATCTTTGTTCTTTTCAAGCCATCCCGTAGCAGTGTATGAGACAGAACCAGCGTAGTGATGAATTTCAAAATGTGCTTCTGCTTTACCTTTGGCAGGTTTCGGTTTACCAAATTGTGGATGTTTTCCTAAGTGATTGTTGTAAAGCTTCTCGACGAATGTTTTATCTGTGGCTTTTGGTACGATACATTCTTCTTCCAAAATCGAAAGAATACCCATAGGCTAAAGAAAAATGAACATGATTACAAGAAGAAAAACTAAGTACATTTATCGTACCTTTTCAATTAAATCAATACAAGCTTGTAAATCCATACCAAAATCAATAAATGTCCATTGTATGCCTTCTCTTTTATATTCTTCTTGTTCCAATACGAACATATGATGGTTGAAGAATTGTTGAAGACGTTCATTAGTGTAATTGATACACAATTGTTCGAATCCATTGAACTACATAGCACACATCAATATAAATCATTGGAAAAATAGCACAATACTTACTTCGAAGATTTCGAAACCAGCAATATCGAGTACACCAATAAAATATTGTCGTTTGCTTTTGACATCGAGTGTTACGTTAACACGTTCAACCAACCAACAGAACATTCGATGGTAAATCTTAAGTATAGTAACATCAATAAAAATATATTGCAAAACTGACGAGAAAAGAAAAGAGCTTAGCATTAGAATTGATTATTCACTTCTTTTTAGTATTTGCTTCTTAGTACTTTACTCTTCTATACATATTACGAGAATAAGATTAGTAAGAAATCAATTAGAGAAATATCTGATTCGTCTTATCACCTTGTTGGAGTAGCTTGAACACAAACATATCGCTACAGATTATATTAATACTGATCTTTATTACAAGTTTGTCTCTAATTGAAGAATCAACAAGAAAATTTAAGGAACTAGAACAAATAGGACTGCTTTTTATTCATGTTGTATCAATATTTGTCGAATTTTGATAACATAAATATGTCAAATAATTTAACGTACCGATTTGGATAAAGCACCGATAGAGTTCACTACTTGATCCTTATTTTGACCTTTATTGACGTATTCATTACCGACCTATATAACAATAGAAAATTTTAACAATTCAAATTTAAAAAAATGATGAATGCCAACCTTGATACGAGGCTTAAGTAAGCCTTTAATTAGTTCGGCTGCATCGACCTCAAGTAAATGAGCAACTTTTTCACAGTCTTCTGTAGTTTCAGCTTCAGCTTGTTCTTCACGAGGTCGTTGTTTCCATTGTGAATTACCAAAGTGCATAATAGCAGCTGTACACTTGTATATACTTTGTTTTTCTTCCTAGATTTTTCGAAAGTAATTATTTCTTTTTGTCTCATGATTATTTAATAGATACAAACCGTTGTAAAGCCAAGTACATCAAAAGCTTCATCCGTAATACGCATTTCTTCAACATCATCAACTCCATCAATTGTAAGTACACCTTGAGATACAAATTGATATTTTGACGGATCGTTTTGAATAAGACATAGTTCTAGAAAACAAGATGAAATAATCACATGGAATTATAAAGAATAAATAGTCAAGAAACATACTGTGCATTTCCGGCAATGCATCGGAGCAGAGTTGATAAAAAATATGATAGTTACGTTCAGCTTGAAAGAAAAAATAATGTTCAATTATTCTCAATAAAACTAAATTTAGTCTTACCTCGTTGCTATAAAAGAAGAAAATAGAAAAGAAATAATTTTAATTCTAATGATAAAACTCGACCATAAGGATAAAATATATTACCTGAAAGATGACACGAGACTTCTCAAGTAGATATACTTCAATATCAGCACCAGCAATTTTTCCTGTTGGACCAAAGTGAATTCGAATGAATTTTCCCTATAAATATTCAGGAATAAATGTTATTGATAATTTCTTGTGAAACAAAAACCGAATACAAACTGATGAATAGAAGTTAAATAACACACAAGCAAACATGCATATTAGATTATTCCACACAAGATGAGTCACTCTGTGACAATTTCTTTCGAATGAAGAAGAATCATCACAGAGTTCTTATTCGTTTATCGAGCGAGTGTTTTTTTTTTGTCACTTACAAATAGTGACAATAAATTGTTATTGACACTGTTCAGATGTATTTGTATTTAAATCATTGAAGAAAAGGGTTTTTTCAGTGAATATATTATTGCTATAAGAAAGGTAGATTGGACTAAATATTATCATATGGTATGGTATCAATGTTCAATAAAATAGTTTGATCTTCAAAACTAAATGTCTATAATAAGGAAGAAGTATACATTGGTGAGAATAAATTAGGTTGATTCTAATGTACTAGAACACAGGTGAAAACAAAATAAATTCATGATTTTTAACGCATGCTCGTCTCATTGATCATAATTAAAAAATAATAATTATTTTCAAATAATAAAAAAATATAAAAACTTTGTTTTAGTCAAACTGCATTTAACTTACAAATCGAGAAGAATTATTGTTTCTAGTAGTTTTTGCATTTCCATATGCTTCTAATGCCGGATCTAATCAAGAACAACGAACACAGATAGAAAATTCATTCGAGACTGATCAAACAAATACTCACTGGCTGAAATAATTTGATCTTCAAGAGTCATTGTTTTCTATTTTTTATCAAGAAAAAAAAAATATATATAATATTAAAACAATGAACTTCTTCTTTCAATATAGTACCTTGCCAGTGTCTTCCTTTTTTACACCGGCAGCTGCGACCAAAGCAAAATATTGAATAACTTTCTTTGTATTTTCTGTTTTGCCAGCACCTGATTCACCAGTGATCAACATGGATTGATTTTCACGATCTAAATGAAATTTTCGTAGAAAAATCCTAATAAAAATTGATTTAATTGATTAATAATTAAATGATAAATAAGCAACACGTCACAATTAGTTTCATTTTTCCAAAAACATTATTAATCATTTTTTTTGGAAGATAGAAAATCCATATTTGAATGTCATTGTTTTATATGATTGAGGAAGATATTCTCTAGCTTTCTTGACTTCTTCGCATTTCTTTTTTTTGTCATTTGAAAATACACTGTTGAGATCATTTATCTAATGATGTCTATAATTTACATGTATGTACTATAAAATATTTTATAAGTTAGGAGTCTTATAATAGAGAAAATCAAAATTAATAAATTATAGATAATACATCTGAATTTGAAACCGATAGTTTTATTGAATATGTACATTTTCTCTTTGTTTGTAACATTTCGCTAAAATAGTTTATGAATTAGTCTCAAATATATGACTATTTTGATATTGTAAAATATAATCATGGTTTTTAAATGAAAAGATTTTCAAAATGTCTAAATGTGTATGCTACTAATACTGAAAATTCATTGCCAAATTATTTCTATCTTAACTGAAATAACAATATCAATAATACAAAAGCTTTCCATTTCTCTTTTGAGAATATCTGATCCAAGAAGACTAAGGACTTTGCCAAAAAACAGTTCTCTGTCATATTGTCTATCGTTTTCATTAATGTTTGTCTGTTTAAATGCTAAACAATTTTTAGCTATTGATAGGAAATTTATTATGTGATTATGTTTTGCTTCCTCTTATTTTAATGTAATTTTCTTAAAATAAAAATTAGAATTTCACACGATAATTATTTTCATCTATCATAATATTCGACTGAAATGTATGTGAAACGTGCAGAATTATACGGTTAGATTCATAATTTCAATTGTATGTATGTATCAATTCTAAATGTGAATAAATGGTATCATATGAACAGATACTGTCACCAAATGTGTAACGAGAAAGAACAATGTTTATAAAATATTTTCTTTTTTCTTCATGTTTTATTCTGGGAATAATAAAGAAAATAGAAGAACACTTGTTATGAATATGTATGTCAGATCTCTGCATGGGATCTGATAATCGTATTTCCTGGAGCGAATCTCGTCTGTCATGGAAAGTTCATTTTTCTGCTTGAATATCCTTATGTTGCGGTAATTGGCGTCTGTCAGTTATTCAATTGTATTTATCATGTCATACAATTTGATTCAGTTGTACAAATAAATACTCGACAATGTGTTGACTGACATGATTAGAATACAAATTTAAATATCAATGAGTGCATCAATCATCTGTATTTTTCATACTAGTATATCAAATATGAAATCTTAGTGATTGGCGAGTAAAGTTTTATGGAACCCTTAATGATCATTTTTTTCCGCATTCTATATCATATGAAATTTTGTTATATGTATTAGTACTATGGGCACATTCATGTATAAAGATACAATGAAAAATTAGAGGGGAATCATTATTGAGATGAAGATAAAGCGATAAGGTTTGAATTTGTTTATTTTCTAAGATATTAACAATTACTTTGTAATGATTCAATTGTTCGAAAGAATATAAGCATCTTTGAACAACATTCTAACTATTCACTTCTGTTTTCTTTTTCATCAGATAGTTATTCCTTCTCCTTGAATACTTTATTTTCATAGCAGTGTCACATACGCTATTTCATAAAAAAAAAAAATCTCTCCAAGCTCTTGATCTAATCTCAACAAACAAGTTGCATCTGTTGATTGACGTATTATTTTTCTTTCTCTTTCTTCCGCTCATGGTGGCCATTTACGTAGGTGATAACAACCATACCGCATATGCCTTTTCCTACACCCATATCCGATTTCGTTCACTCGCTCGCTCTTCCTTCATATACTGATGTTGATCCAGACGTGGATATGCCTTTCGTGACATTCCATCAATGAAGAATATTCAAGGACATGTCCTTTTTCTCCATATGACGTGTGTTATTATCAGGTGATCTTTAAGGCAAACAATAGCTTTCTCAATAAGCATTGTTGTTTACAGTAAGATACTCACCACGGAGCATGTTCGAATAGGCATTGTCAGCAATAGCATACAGATGTGGTGCAACTTCAGCACGTTTCCTGCCACGATACATGAGAACTACCTTCATTGTATAAATTGGCAAACGTTTGTATGGATTAATGACGACACAAAAAAGACCCGAATACGTCTAAAAAGTGTTTCAAAAATAATTGTATTTAAAAAAGAAAACGAAAAATTAAGCATACATAGATGAGCCATCGTGCATAACGATCGCGCAAATTAGCCAAAACTGAACCGTCGTTTAAATAGGTTAAATCAGCCATATCATCGGTGCAAGAATATTTTGGTGGATTCATCTGTTGAACATTATCTTTTTTCAGTGTAACAGTCTAGAAAAATAAAACATATGAATTATTGTTGAATAAATGTGAAATAAAGAACAATTACCTCTCCCTTCGGATTTTTTACTGTCACATCATCACCTTTTGTGCTTACAATTTCACCAGCAACATATGACTCTTTTGGATCAGGTACCCAACATGCTTTCTTACCATCAAATGGTTGAGCCTGAAGTTTTATTTTTTCTTCTGGTGGAAGCATCAAATACTTCATTGCTTCTACCACTTCGGGATCATTATGATCGTACGTTGAAGTCATTATTGTTATCTCTTTGAATAATGTTTAATACGCTTGACTATTGAATTCAATCAATAAAGATCGTTCTCGTCGTCAATATGCAAGAATGAAACGCACTAAGTTGCGCGTTAGAAATGTTTGTGGAACTGATATAGCAAACAGTAATATACTGTCGATATTGCAACGGAAAGAGAGAGAGAGAGAGAATAAGAGAGAAAATAATCTTGCTAAAACAGTTAGTCCTTACAAAACAATAGTCATAGAACACATAAGAATCACTCTCCCAAAAAGCCACAGAATCTATCTCTTTGCTCTGATACTATTGTACAGTGCAAGATACCAAGATTGTTCGACTTTTTTTTATATCGTTAATCCAATAATACAGTTGTAGAACGAGAAATGCATTAAATGTGAGAATTTTTTTCTCTTTTTGCCATATAAGTAATTATACAATAGTGAATGTGAATATCCTATAATAACTCATATACAAAATAGGAATAGATGACAAAAATAGATTTATACAAGAAAAAGAATGCATCTTTTTTTGTATTATCAACAGAATGGTAACCGTTTTCATGACTTTCTCATATTTGATTTGTAGTTTTGTTACTGCTTTTGAATTTTGTCCTTTATCTATTTCACATCTAATTGGCATCGTTTATGATTTAGCAGTTCTCACAATGGTTCACATTGAATAATGTATCATGAACAACAGAAAAGTATTGAAAGATTGAAAACTTCACATGATGAAATCAATAATGTATTAGAATGGAACATAAGGAGTACTGTAAAGCAATATTTTTAGTTCTTTTCATGTTCTAATATAACTGGTTGAAGTTCATCTCACATCGTAAAATGACAAAAATAGATTTTCAATTTTTCAAGTGAACAAGATTTCAATTGTAGTTGTATGCTTTATCTTGAATTTTCTCTTTCTTTCTCGCATACAATCGATTATTATTATATTTTGACTATTTGTTGAAAAACTCAAAAGAAAAACAGTAATCTATAACACTTTTGTTTATATGTTTATGTAAATGTTTAATCTTAGATTTACATATAGATAACTGATGCGAAGGTAGAAGAAAAGAAAAGAATGATATGAAAGAAAAAATAGAGTGTGGATGATGATCATGAAAGGATAGAAGAGATCCGACACATACGTATGTACACATATATAATTGCCTAGTGGGAAACTAGTGATTACGTATGTAAAGAGCGAATGTGTTCGGATTTTGTCACAAACTACTGAATCATGGTTTCATCAGTAGACCACTTTCGACAACATTAAATTTTAATTGAAAAAAAGAGAACGTAGATTAAAGCTGGAGTAGCCATCATTAGCTATAAACAATAATATCCTTTTATGATGTGACGCATATATGTATATGAACATCTTTTTAATTAATTTCATTTTGAATGACAAAATAAAACGATCTACAACAAATGCTGTTCGTATTATCACTAGACCCAGTATTTTTTTCATGAAGAGATAATCAGAAACTAACTTGAATAGGTGAAGTGACTAGATGTAGGAATTTTTGAAAGCTTGTGCATGATCATACACAGTATCACCCTATTTATTTCATAGTTTACGCAGAAGATATGTTAACGAATTTGTCTTGTATATATCTATTTTGCTTCAGCTGAAGGCACAGAGATTATGACGACGTCATTTAATGAATATAAGACATACGAAGATTTTTCTCAGTGTCGAAAATACCTTTATGTATATAAATTGAAGTTGCATGAGGCAAAAATTTGAATTGCATATATATATAGCATCTAAGACATCAATGGTCAAGAATACGGCAGTCAATCAAACGACAACTAATTCGTCTCCCATATATCTCAATTTTCCAGACATGTGATTAAATCACTGAAAGCACTACGCGAGGATGGGGATCGCATGTGAAAAATGAAGATTAGCTCCATGAAATAGATTTGTAGTTGATCTCGTTGGTAAACGATAATTGAATGTTGATATTCACATTTTAAATTTATCGAAATATTGCGAAAAGACAAAAACTATATTCGTTTTTGAATAACGAAACTTGCAGCCAACAGATGCGCTCCCAGATAAGAAAAAATTATTTAGGGTTCTGAGAAATTTTCACAGTAACTCCTATTTACTCTTGTGTGAAGCTTCATACTCAATTAAAATTTACGGATTTTATTTTTCAGCATTGCAACCAATTGTCGTAGATTCGTTTGGTTGATTCGTTGACTTTCCATATCGGAAAATGGAAGAAATGTTGTTATTAGAAAACAGAGAGCGACAACAAATATTTTTTATGTATATTGTTTAAGAAAAGCACGAAATTATGAAGCATTATTCATAACAGTCACACCTTAGATCAACAAGTAAAATGTATCCATGATAAAATGTTTCAAGAGATACTACATAATAATGTGCTTCACTGGCAAATATGTTAATAATGAACGCAGAAGAAAAGCCGGATGTCAAAATTCATCTTATCTTTAAAGGTATCTGAATATTCATGTTAAACTTTAACATTTTCCGATCTATATTTTTAGTTTTGCTTGATTTAATTAAATACACTGGTACATAGACAAAAACAATGTACAAAAAGAATCTTCATACAAATATGTCAATAGATCTTAAGAAGAACAATAAATAAACACTGGAAAATAATGACAAATTTTAATCCCATAATTTGACGACATTATCCCATCCAGCTGTAAGAACTCTTGATTTTTCATGCCAATGCCATTTAGCATCAATGCATACATCATCATGAGCTTTAATTGTTTCGAAGATACGTGTTGTTTTCCAATCCCAAATAATTAAACGTCCATCTGCATCACCACTGATCAAATAAGACATGTCCGGTGAAAAATCCAAACCACATGCATAACCAGATACCTATATAGAAATTGAAATATCAATTGATTTCATGAATAAAAAAAACAAATGACTACTTACCATATGACCTTTGAACATTTTTTTGCTCTTCCATCGAAAATTGGCCAATGGTTCCATGATTCGAATTTGATTATCCATTGATTGAAATGCTAAATATTTACCTAGAAACAAAAAAAAAATAATAATAAGAGAACAAATTAAATACTTAGTATTGAATACAAATAATCGGTAAAAAAAAGTCAAACTATCTGTATAAAACTTAATCTTCGATAATTATTACATTTGTTCAATAAATTAATAATTTATGAGTGTGGGTGTGTAGAATGGGAATATTACTATCAGGCGGGCCAACATCGACACCCACATCCTTAAATACTGAGCGTGTAATAAAAAACGTACTGAACAATTAAATATGAACTTAATAATAATAACAAAGTAAAGAAAAATAAACAAACCATTCCGTGATTGAGCAACGGCTGGCATTGAATGCATTGTTGGATCAGCAATATATTTAAAATCGACAGGAATATTCCTAAAATACGAAAAAAATCAAAATTAAAAATCAATATGTTCAATATATGATTATTTACCATTCCCATACACGAATACTCTTATCATCTGATGTTGAAACAATTCGACGATTTCGATCAACAAATGTAACTGTATTAATAGCACCCAAATGTCGATCATATTCTTGTACAACATGACCACTTCGTATATCAAACTAAATAGAATATTGATATATCAAAAAACATGTAAAAATTTAATGATCATAAAAAAAACTTACACAAAGAATTTTCTTATCGGACATACCACATATAAATAAATGTTGTTTATGTTCACTTGGATTAAATGATATACAATAAGGGATTTTACGCATTGGAAATTTACTTTTTACTTGACCTAATATATAAAAAAAAATTGTTATGAAAATTTTAATTACAAAATAAAAATTCTAAATTCATACCAGTTTCTGTATCCCATAATTTAACACTTTTATCATATGATGCTGACAAAAATTCTGTACCAGCATTATTAAAACTAACATCTCGTACAGCTTGACTATGTCCAGCATAAGTTCGAATACAACGACGTTCATTATAAAATTCCCATAACTACACAAAAACAAAACGATATACTCATGTATTAAATCATTTTTTTTTCTTTCTTCTATGTTAAACTTACTTTGACTTTGCAATCCATTGAACAAGTAAGAAACAGATGAGCAGAAACAGGAAAATAATGAATTTTTTGTACAGCTTTTGTATGTCCTTTGTATATATGTATGCATTGTTTTGGAATAAAACATCGTTGTGGTCCATGTTCAGAACGAAGATTAACACCAACATCTTGTGGTATATGAAGAAATGATCGACCTTGATAATCATATGGATCTTTAATATGTAATGTTGTTGATGATGGATCTTCAGGTTCTTTACGCAATGTTGTCGATTCGGGATCACGAGCAGATGCTGGAGCATGTTGATCTTCTAAATTGCGTCGTTTTATTTTCTTTCTTTTAGCTAAAAATTCATCAATTTCCTTTTGATCTTCCTTAAATAGAAAAGAAAATAGAAATTTAGAAAAAAAAAAAAAAATGAATTAAATAAATTATACTTCAGTTGGACGAGATATAGTAATTTCATCGGCAAATGGAGCCCATGGACCTTGAAAATGTTCAACATCACTTGAATCATAATTTTTTTCTATTTTACGTTTTTCATTTGAATATTTTCGATTTGTTTCAAAAATAGTTTTGCCTTGATTTTGTTCAGCACTAATTTGATCACCAATTATTTGTAGAGTAGTATGTTCTCCAACACTAGGATCAGCTGCATAACCAAAACTATCAAATGTTCGACGTTGATTTTCAAATTGAAAATCACTTAAATTTGTTGATTCAGCATGACCATTAATTAAATTTTTATGACTTTTTTGTTGTTGTGTTAAATTAGGATTTGTTGGACCAAACTAAAATGAATGGTCATTCATTTCTTTTTTTTTTCTCTCAACACTATTCGACTTACCACTGGTGCATACATATCTTCATATTTAGGATTGTATTGAACTTCTCTTGCTCTAATATCGAGAAAACTACTTGTATCTTCTGGCTAGAAATTAAAAGAAAAATGAATTATAATACAGTAAATTATGATTTGCATAATAGATTGCTTGTATCAATGTTTGGTTTTTTATTCCATAAGTTGATTCTAATAATGAGGAACGGTAGCCAAGTGTGTGACTTATCAATTAAATTGATATTTGGCTCATAAATAGATTCCGACAAGATTAGTAGAATTCTATAAGAATTTGTCTCTGGTACTGTCCTTTCCAAGTTAATACCATTTAACTGATATTTTTCTATATCTGATAAGATATTGTTGACCAAATCAAATATTAAAATTTCAATCTGAAGTTTTGCTCATAGTTAGGTCTCTTTGATCTTAGAATGTCCAGAAAATTTTAGCCCAAAACAATATGTTACTCTTGAGATATCGAACATTGAAAACACTCGAATTTCTTACCTGGCCTTAGGATACATAAATTTTTGCAGATATTCAATATTTCGAGAAAAACATATCTGTTTAGACTATAATTTTCATAGCATTCTAAAATATCCACTTTATGGACAAACTATCAAATCGACTGACGAGTCCGACTTGGGCATGTTTCTTCGTAAATGATATTTCGAATTGAAAATAGAATTTTATATCATTTCATTTGACAAAATAAGAATATTTCTGATGTTTCGTTCTTTTTATTACAGGTTTTTTTCTTACCTGAATAGCAATAGCTGGTGTTAAATTAAGTTTAATTTTAGACATAACAGAAAATGTTGGATCATTAATAACAGCCATTCGATCCTCTATTTCTTCTTCAGTTTTCTCATTGTCATTGTCATTATCCTTATCATCATCATCATCATATAATGCTTGAATTGCTGCAAGAGCCATCTAGAAAAGGCAAAAACCAAACAACCAAATAAATACAGGTTCAATTGAATGATCTCTATGTTTAAAAACAAAAAAGAATCTGATGATGAAAAACCAAACAAAAACTTCATTCTTCGAATTTTTGCTATCCTAGAGAAAGAAATGACATAATTCACGTATGAAAAGAGAAAAAAAAAAGAAATGTAGAATATATACAATAACACAAATAAACAGAGATAAATTTAATTTTTTTTAAATAGAATAGATGTTGATTAATGTTCAAGTCAGAATACAATATGGCATAAGTGTTGTTGAGTTTACATTCTCTCGACATAAAGGACATCGAGATGATGTTGCTAATAATTGACGAGTACACAATGTGCACATAACATGACGACATTGTGTTATTATTAAATAAACACCTGTATGTTGTAAATGAGTAAGTGTTTCAAGACAAATTGGACATTGTTGTACATCAATAGATAATTTCCGTTCGAATGAATTATGTGAACAAGATATTGAAATAAGTTCATCTTCTGTTAAATCAATTAATTCATCATTATTGTTATTATTATCATCATCATTAGTAAGAATTTCAAGAGTTTCATAATCATCGTCATTAATTAATTGTTGTTCAATATCCTCGTCTATTATTGCAGGTTCTTCATCAATTTCTTCTTGAACAATTTCCACATCTTCAATATCAGATGAAGATATGGATGTATTACTTATAGAGGATACTGATGGAGGTATATCATCAGTTACATCAATTCCCTGATCATCATCTGAATCGGAATCCGAAACAATAACAATTGAACTATCAGTTTGTGAAACATAATAATTAGAATTTTGTTGTTCAATTTCAATAATATCATCATCATCAGTATCATGTTCAGTTTGGCTAAAATATTCGAGTAAAACGTATAATGAATTGACTTAAATTAAGAGAATCATGTTCAACCTGTCTTCATCAATAGTCACTGCTGAAAAAATTGGTTCATCGATAATTATTTCTTCATCTTCATCATCTATTACTATTTGATTGTCGTTATCTGGTGGTGGTGTTGGTGAAGAAATAAAAATACGAGCACGTTTTGGTACTGGCTCAAATTCATCTGAGATTTGTGAATTTGATAATGGTGATGACGGAGGTGACGATGAATGAAGTTGTCGTTTCATCACTTTTTATTAAATCATGTAAGTCTAAAATAAATGAAGTAATAGAAGAAAATATACATATATATATATATATATTATATGTCTAGAAAATCAAACAAATTGTCTAGTTGCAAATACACAAAGAAGAGTATAGCGACATTCGATTCATCATCATGATTCAGTTAGGTTTTCTTTTTATTTATTTTTCTGTATGGGTGGAATATGTATAACAATTAGAAAAAAAATTAAATAGGTGTCACTAAAAAACAAGAATTAATTAAAAAAATTATTATATTTTAAAAGGGAAATATTTTAAAAAAGAAAATAATATCTAAGAAAATAAAATTCTCTTTTCAATTTCATGTTTGAGAGTATCTCAAAAAAAAATCGATTGGAGATTTCATATGATTGGCTATGAGTCATTGAGAAAGCTTTTTTCCAATATTCCATGTAATTTCATCTAAACATAGCTTATAAATAAAACATGACACATGAATCTTATGATATTTTTTTATCTTACTTCTCGTTGAGTAACAGCCATATAAATGTATTCTACTGTTGATCTTTAATAAAAACAAATACAATCATTTTTTTACAGATTATAACTACAAAATGTTTAATCGAAACAATTTTTCTTATAATGGTGGTAGACATTATACAGATCCAACATCTTCTCGATATAATACAAAATATAGTCGACGTGGTGGTCGAAAAGATTATCGTCCTGAATCCCATCATAATGGAGATGATGTCGATACACTTATGGTATCAATAAATCGTCATTTAACAACTGATGGAAATCCATCTCAAGATTTATCATCAAGAAGATATATAACTAAACGCACTCAAGGTCATCGACCAACTCGTTTAAATTATCAATTCAAAAGTGCTCAAATAAATCAGACAGGTTGGTGGCGTGTAACAATTCAACAAGCTGGTATAATTGGGAAAGAACGTGTTATGTCAACACTTAAAGCTCATTGTCCTCGTCAATTTCAACCATATCATGTAAATATTCATTTGATAACATATTTTTCCTGTATATTTTATTGTTTATTCTTTTAGTATTTCATTGATCCTCATACGAAAGCAGGTGTTTTCTTTGTCAATAATCAACACGATGCCGATATGATTAAACGAGCTAATGGAAAAATTGAAGTTCAAAATTTAGATATAGTAAGTAAACAAAAAAACAAAGCGGGAGTTTCATTTCCACTACGTCACAGTGTGCATCTAGACGGGCATTCGGCTAATTAGAAGAATCATACTTTGTCAAGACTTAAATATAGTCTATATTGATGATATGAATAAGTTTTGTTACAACCTTCAAAGAAATCTGACGAAATTAAACTGGTCGACAGACAAATCAAATAGATTTTTCCGAATTTTCAAGCCGAACTTTATACAATGGCAAAAAATATCTTTTTCTACATTGTTAACTGAATGACTAATTAGTTCTGTAAAATGAACAACTCAACCTCTAATACTTGTTAGCGCATAGATTCTCGGACTCTAAAGTAGATTTCGAAAAAAACCTAGGTATTTTTGGTTTTGGGAAAAAATATTCGATCGACAAAATTCGTATATTCAGAATCAGCGAATTAAACTGTATTAAATGATATATAACACAAAACATTTTCCTACAAAATTACGGCAAGAGTTTCGCACAGGAATTTTTCACTGGGAAAATTTTTTCCCAAAAACTTTTGTAAAATATTTTTTTGGGTTATATCCAATCATGTTTCAAGCAAAGAAATCCGTTTCCAAACAGAAAAGTCACATTTCTGTCTGCCATGCGCAATATGTCTGAGAAATTTTCCCTTCTCCCCAGCGAAGTCCGAACGTCTTATTCATATTTTGTGCTCTGTAATTTTTTAAACAAAGCACTCGATCTCCACCAATCTTTGGTTCTCAGGACACTCCTAAAACAAAGAATCTATTTTATACTCTTTTGTTTTTCATTTTTTTAAGCTTCGTATTATGGTTGGCCGAGTTTCAGCCCCAATACCATCAATGGATGAAGATTTACGACCACACTTTAAAGTAAATAATACACAAAAAAAAACGAAACCTGTTCATTTCCTTCTTTACGATATTTAGGATTATTTACTTAGTCGTCGATTTAATCAGCAAACATTTCAATTAGATTTATCGAATTTAGCTGATGATGAAGGTAATATGAATGTTTGATTTTAATATGAAATTATAATGTTAAATATTTAGAATTAAGTTCTTTCGGTATCTTTCCACAATTTAATAAACATGCATTCATACGTGATGTTATTGATATTATTAATAAAGATCTTCCTATGGTTTGTATTTATATTTATTTATATATCTATAATTTTTATTTTATTATGTAGATACGACAATTAGATTTGGGTTCAAATAATATCATGAATTTATATGAATTTCGTAATCTTCATTTAAATAATCTTGTACAACTAAGTTTTGCTTCAAATCAAGTTTGTTTTTTTTGAAAAAGAAATTATTTTATTCAAAAATTAAAATTATTTATTTTTAGTTAAAAAATGTTGAAGATTTTGATAATCTCAAACATTTATCTCAATTAGTTCATATATATATTAAAAATAATCCATTAACATTACCAAATAACAAATGCAATAATTCAATCGATAATATAATCAGGTCAGATCTAAAAACTTTTTCTTTTCATGGACATTCACAAGAGACAGAGACAAAAATCAAATATCTTCTTAAATCGAATGGTTTATTTTCTATGGTTTATTTTTATTATCTTATTTTTATTCTCAACCGATCATTTGATTACACTTGAGTTTAACAAAAAAAAAAAAAAAAACAACCTAAATTCACCGAATTAAAAAGAAACAAATAAAAACAAAAAATATTTATACAAACGAAATCGTTTTATTATATTAAACGAGAGAATGTGTGAATGGTTTTGTACGTCGAAAATTTATTCAAGTATGAGAGTGTAACAAAGATAAATCTTGTAAAATTTCGTTTTTTTTTGTGATTGTAAATAATATCGAAATTTTTTTGTACGTCGAAAAAAAACAAATTTAGAACGAACTCCTTTCAAATCAATTAGCAACAAGTAATAATCAATTAATTCTATACTTAAATCAAATTGATATTATATTCGATGTTTAAATATTTCAAAAACTAATGAAAAATACATTACAAAATTAATCATAATTGATTAATAATCAATCCTTTGGAATTTATTATAAAATCAATTAAACTTCTATCTTTGATAGAATTTTATTTCTATGGATTATTTTATCAATTTTGGACATCGGATTACAAGAACGAAAAAAAAAAAAGCAAAAAATTCATGTTTAATAATTTTAATAAACAAAATGATTGCATAGTTTAATAACAGCGTGCAAATGGACACAATCAAATCTGGGTTTTTTTTCTGTATCTATGTGATGAGAGAACTGATTATTGTAAAATGTGATAAACGATTTCGATAAAGTTGACAATTATATAAACATTATAAAACGATGAATTATATATGTGAATAAGAATGATTAATTGAGAAATTAACAAGAGATTTCAAAAAAAAAAAAAACCAATATAAAACATTCGATTTAAAAACGACAGGGCAAGAGATGAGTTTGTTTGCTGTTGCTTGGGTGTCTATATTTTCAGTTGCGTTCTGCAACAAGCATCCATCAATTTGGTCCATCTAATACCATTCTAGTACCATACAGCAAAAATTACCACAACTCAAACGAATTGTATGTTTATTTTTCTAATTAAATTCTAATGACTAATATATTCTTTTACAAAGGATGATATTGATCTTACACCAGCTATTCGTTTTGCAACTGATATTGAAACAATAATATTACCAAAATCATTACCACATCATGTACCACATGATATGCAAGCATTTTTAGCTACATTTATTGGAGAATTTTATCCATTATTTGATACACCTGGCCGTAGTAAATTACATGCATGTTATGATGATTTATGTATATTGTCGTTATGTATTACAAAATTAGAAGATTCACATGTTCCTATGCGACATTATAAATATGGTACATTATTAACGGAATCAAGAAATTTACAGTTTGTTACGGATAATAATAAACGTATTAGTCTATTACGACATGGTAAAACAGCTGTATTAGATTTCTTAAGACTTAAATTTCCACAAACGAAACATGATGGAAATTCATTTCATGTTGATGTTATTTCAACAGCTGTAAGCTATTGATTGATTTTTATTGTATTATTTTATTTTTATTTTAATATTTTATAGAATAATCGAGCTATTTTTACAATAAATGGTCTTTATACAGAAGGTAAATTGAAGAAATTGAATTAAAAAAATTTTCAGTTTTTTATTATGAAATTTTATTGTTTCAGTGGATCAAAGTATAAATCATCCTATTCGTTGTTTTCAACGTACATTTACTTGTGCTAAAACTGCAGCTGGGTAAATACGAAATTTTTTCACGAATTTAATATTATTATTATTATTATTTAGTGTACTTATCATAGCTGATCATATTATGCTAAGTAGTGCAACTGGTGCACAAATTTCCGTATGTATAATATTGAATTTTGGTTATGAAGCAAAATAATTTTGTTTTATTATATAGAAAATGACTCATTCTTCAACAACAACATCATCATCACAAAGTTCGAATAATCAAAATACAAACGTTGACATAAAAAATCAAGAAATGATTCAGAAATTTTCTGAACAATCAGGCATGAATATAGAATATTCAAGATTGTAAGTGTATTATTATAGCTTATATGTATAAGTGAAATATATCTATTCGTTTTCTAGATGTTTACAACAAAATAATTGGAACTATGATCAAGCTGCAGGAGTATTTCTTGATTTACAAAACAAGGTTAGTTTTTATTTTTTGTTGTTGTTTTCTTTTTTATCTAACGAATATTTCGTTTGTTTATATTTAGAATGAGATTCCACCGGACGCTTTCAATAAATCTTAATTTCATGGTTCAATTCATAGACTGTCTCTATGAGAAATTAGACACTGTTGTTTTCTTTCTTTGTTTTTTTAATAATTTTGTTTCTGAAACTAAAGTGTATTGCGTATTTTCTTTTGATTTCATCAACAAGATGAATTAGTGTAAATGTGCTAAAAGTTCAATAAAACTAAGAAAAAAAAAAAAAGAATGAAGTTTGTTCTTCTGAGTATAAATAATAAAATGAATGTTGAACACAATTTATCTGACTTACAAAATTGTTAAATAACTTATGGAACAAAAGTCTTGATACAAAGTATGCACTTAATTTTCGATGACTTACAGAAAACTGATTACCACTTGAAATAATTAGTTAGAATCAAACTTTTTTTGTTCTTTCCAAACATGTGTTCAAAATTTCCTTTTTGGGTACGATTGACAATTATTATTACATTGTTTCGAAAGACTCAAAATCATGGTTGTGTACAGAAAATGATTTCAGTGAACTTTGGTATTACGATTGAAACTTATCAAATTCAAAATGCAAAACAGTTTTTTGATGAGTCAGTTTTGTAGAGAAAAATTTTCTTTACAAAGTGTGCTATTTATTCTTGCATGAAATGTTAAAAAAGTAGTTTTTGAAAGTAATTTGTTTTCACTGATGCTGATTCCGATAGAAAGTAGTTCTCTAGTAGAAACGCATAGATTTTTGAGTGACATGATATTTCGTTTATTGTAATATTTAATTCAATGCTTTACAAGAATGTTGAGTTGAAGCTATTTCAAGACACAAACTAAGGTCTGCGTCAAAACGGTTATTTTACTTTGTACAGACACGACTCCAGACTTTTTTTTTTTTTTTTTTTACAAAATTTACTGATATTTGTTCAATTCTATCTCAGAAGAAAAAATTGAACATATATTCGAGAATAACGAAATGTTCTATTCCTAATTAACTGCCTCAAACTCTAAACATTTGTCCTTCAGGGACCAAAAAATCAGCACATATTCTGTGCGAAGACTCTTGTACAATAGGTTACCTCATATTTTTCGAAATATATATTTAGATTCTGGTTTTTTTCCAGCAATATTCAATACATTGTTTCACATTTTGATATCTAAAGTCATTTAAAGAAGCACACTAAATATTAAAAAAAACTGGTTTTTAGTTCAAAGTAAACATTCTTTTAATACTGAGATGTTCATTTTCGGAAAATATCTAACATCTTATTCTTTCTGAAGTCTTTCTATTGACAAAGGATTCTAAGCCATTTATAATATCGTACTGCCATAATCTTCATTAGTCATATATACGCTTATGATATCAAATGAAAACAAATGAATAATAGTTTTATTTGCTTAAAGTGATTGACAGTATTTAAATAATAATATGAAACGAACTGGAACGAATAGACGATGATAAACAAGAATTGTTTTTTTTATTCATGACAGCAGTGCATTCAGATGATGCTGATTGTGTGCTTGGCCGGAATCGTATGCAATATAATCACTTCAGTCAAACAGTAATTCTCACATTATTGTTACATTTCAAGGTGACTAAACAAAGAGAGTACTTGAACATTTTTATTCAGGTGTGTTGTCATGGTACATAATTCGTAATTTTATATTAGTTTAATGAGAATTGAAAATTAAACCAACTCATCAATTCCAAGATGATATTCTATTTAAAATTTTGAATATACTAATTAATATTCTTTCATATCATTGTATCTGATGGAAGACTACAATTGACTAATGCAGAAAAGTTTTGAGTAAATCTGAAAGTAAACATATTCTTAACATGATTCATTTTTAAAGATACGATTGAAATTATATTACTCACCGTCAGGATGAATGTATGACAGTTTATGAAAAACTAATCAGTCAACATTATATGCATGTATAAATCACAACCAAACATTTTTCATTAGTTAAAATATTTAAAATGAACAGATTGTTCTGTATCACTAATGCATAAAAATAATTTAATAATTGAAAACATATCGCAATGTATATTCAATTGACTTTCAATAATGATAAACTTTCATAATATGAAACAACTTCTAGAATTTTATGCACTCTGCATTTCACATATCGATACTACTACGTCTTTTCAAGATAATTTGAAGTAATCTATAGTTGAATATCTATTAAAAAATATTTTTCTAATATTTACTAAAACATCCATTTGCATCCTTTTAATATTGTGTAGAATCTATCGTAATATTCTGTAAGTATTTTTGGAATGAAAAGAAACTTGTAACATATGTTGTTTAATATAAAAACACATGGAAATAGTTTCATTATTCAATTTAAAAGCTTAACTTTCATAATTTAGCAAATTAATTCATTGTTGATTATTAACTAAGTTTTTTTTTTTTGAGATTTATTTCGAACTTTAAAATACACTCAAACGAAGAGTTACATGAATTGTTTACCCATCGTTTTAACTCAAATTGAACCAGAGCCGCCCGTCGGGTTGGTTCCAGACTCAACTGAATTCAATGGGAGTCCTAATCCCGGACTGTGCTCGATCCAATTAATCATACTGAAAAAGTAACAGTTAATTAAGAGTTGATCCTAATGAGATTATCATAAAGATTGTCTTAGAAATATATAGAGTGTATTAATAACGGAATACAAAGTATCAATAAAAAAGTATCTCGCATCTACGCAGCGACTTGAAGACTCAGACTAAAAACATTCGTTGGATCAGGACTACAGTTCGTGTCCACGTCTGAATCCCAAAATTTTGAATTCAACGCGCTCTATATTGAAACCACAACAATGCCTTGAAGAAATTAGCAAAAGCGTAAAAAAGTCCATCCTTATAGGCCTTTGGAAACGAGTTATGATGATTTTATCAAGTTTTAACACAGTTTTAGGTACATACAAAAAAAATTTTAAAACACTGCATGTCGATCACAGATAAGTCGTATGATTCAAAGAATATCTGCAAATTCTCAGTCGAAGCAATGTTCCTTTATTGAGATATTGAGTTTCAAAAAAAAAACAATCATTTGCCACAGATATGTTACAAAATTTGAGTTTACTTGAAACATCAATATCTCAACAAAAGAATAGTTTTTGGACTGAAACTCGGTGGAAAAATCAATAAAATGATCATAACTCGGCTTTAACAGCACATGAAAACTAACTCTTTTTAGGCTTTTGTTAGTATCACGAAGACGTCATTGTGAAAATTAATAAGCGTGAAAATGGCAAGTATGGATTTGGATGGTTTCCTCTCAAGTAGTTGAAATTATACTCATCGAAAGTCAATCTTTATCAGCATCAAATGATGTTGTACATTGTTATTTCTGTAGTAATTTCTTCGAATGATTATTTTATTAGAGACTTTATTTCATTTCCCAAGATTTCATTCCGCTGCTTTTGTATAGGGAATTGAAGCAAAAAAAAGTCCACACATACTCATGAGAAATTATAACGAACATGATAAAAGTCTTTCACAATATTGACTAAAGTTAAGTATGAAAACAGGAATCGATACCTGACATGAAATATAAAACCTAGCAGAATAAACCAAACTATCGTTATCTTGACTTCATATATAATAACAAGAATAAAAATGACTCAAAATTGCTTTTTATAGTTTTATTTTGTTTGAACCAAGTGGATATTCATTTTCAGTTACGAAAGTAAATTTTACCGTTTGGATAAAAAATTTATTCATAGTTTCAACTTCAATAAATCGGAAAGAAAATATGACAAAAGCAACGATAGAATACATGGATCTTGAATTGTTCAAAATCTCATCAAAAAGAAATTTCTTTTTTTCATTAAAAATGAAAAAAAAAGACATATTAAGTCTGAATGTTCTCAAAAGAATTCCATTCAATAAATCATCAACTATTGAATAAATACAAGACATAATAAGACATAAAATTAAATTTTTAATGTTGATAAGTACATCTAAATTATTTAGAAATACAATGACTATTTTCTTCGAAAGAAAAAGTCATTAAATACAACAAAATTGTTGTTGAATTAGCAATACAGAACGAGAGAAATTTATTACGATAACAAATCTCTATGAAGGACAATAATAATGACGAGTTTCAATACTGTCATATAATTGATGTCTTTTGCAAGTTCGATATAGATAAAACTTAGAAGATTAATTTGAATAAATCTAGTCTATTGGGAAAATTCGATTAACATATAAAATATAATGTTCTTTCATCAATAAGACAAACTAGTATTTGAAGTTTATGCAATCTATAACTAAAATACATTGTACTGTTATTTCTCAAATATTGTTGAGATAATAAACCATTAATAAATCAAATATAATCAACTGAATCACTGACATTTAAATAAGAACAAGAATCATAGAAAAGAGAAAAGTTCAAAACTAATTAGAATAGATAGAAATTGTCAATTGACATTCAGATCAATATGACAAACTTTTATCAATTGTTAGATAAAAAAAATTTTGTTTTTTAAATTCCATGTTAAATGTAGTTAAAAAACCTCAGATATTTGATATATTTTCTATATATATATATATGTTCTATTCAACGTTTGTTTCATTGTCGTTCATAATTCATTATCGATAAGCATATATTTTCTTACAATAAGAAAATAGCATGTGATAGGATCTCCTTCTGTGTTCGACACTTTTTTTTTCTTTCTATATTATTTCTATTTAGCCATAGTTCGAATGCTCATTTTTCTCGTTAGTTCATTCGTTTACACAGTATTAGAACGCTCATAAGAATGAATAGTTCTAAAATGTCATGCTATCGATGGCAATCTCTCGGCATAAAAGAAAGAGAAGATTCTTGCCATTCATTGGATATATATATATATGTATGGAACTAAACAGGTATGAAAAGAATTTGACACGCATCAGTACATGTAAGTATCGGCAAACGAAAAAACGAAGAACGGAGATAGCAAAAATGAAAATAGATTTGACATTATCTTTTCTTTCTTCTTTTGTTTTGCAAAAGAAATTTGTTCTAAAGTACAACATTAAAAAAAAAAAGAATGAATAAAAA